AGCCGGGGAGGAAAAGATGGAACATTCAATTTTGGCCGCAGACTGCTGTGCTTTTGGAGTTATCTCTTCTTTTCCTGCCTTTTTCTTAAAATGTTAACCTCTGGGTCCCCCACAGCAGACCCTTTCTCCTTGTTAATATATTACTCCCAATATGCTGTGGAGTTAATAATCAAATAGCCAAATAGGTTAGCATTATGTTAAAATAGCTTTGGATGGTCCATTGCGAAGTGTGTGGACTTTGTGACACATAGTGACTGCTTAGAAATCATTTTGGATTTTTCTCTCCTATGTTTTAAAAATGAGGTTTCTAGATATGTGAATTTGGAAGCAAGTTGGTGATGTCAAAAATATGGGAGAGACTAGTCCCACAGTACTCCCTGCTGAGGATTATAATCAATTATATATGATTACATCTATAATAGTATACCTAATTCCAGGAAACGTGTTTAAGATAACGTTGAACAAACAGAGGGGTTTTGAGGTAACAGTAACCAGGATGGAAGGTGAGGAAGCTCTGAAACTATGCCATATGAGGAATAATTGGGAAGACAGGTGACATTGCATTCAGAGAAAGAAAAACTTGGATGAAAGGAAAAACTTACTGGAGAGTAGGATAGGGCTGATACAGCAATAAAATTATTCTGTTTCCATGCGTCATACTCATGATTGACATGATTATGACCAAAAAGCACAAGCTTTACCAAATGACATGATTATGACCAAAAAAGCACAAGCTCTAAAGGGACAGATTCTGACTCAGTAGAAGAGAAATTTCAAATAATGAGAAATACTCAATAATGTAATTGACTAAGCCTGGGGCTGGGAAACAAAAGTAAGATAGAATCACTATTCTAGAGCCAAACCACTATTCTAGAGCCATTCATAAAGTGGAAGCTCCATTCTTAGTGATTAAATCAGGACTAAATGATCCTCTATTAAAACATACTGTATTGGGGCAGCCCGGGTAGCTCAGCAGTTTAGCACCTTCCTGCAGTCCAGGGCCTGGTCCTGGAGACCCGAGATTGAGTCCCACGTCAGGCTCCCTGCATGGAGCCTGCTTCTCCCTCTGCCTGTGTCTTTCTCTCTCTCTCTCTCTCTCTCTTTTTTTTTTTTAATTTTTTTTTATTTACTTATGATAGTCACAGAGAGAGAGAGAGAGGCAGAGACACAGGCAGAGGGAGAAGCAGGCTCCATGCACCGGGAGCCCGACGTGGGATTCGATCCCGGATCTCCAGGATCGCGCCCCGGGCCAAAGGCAGGCGCCCCGGGCCAAAGGCAGGCGCCAAACCGCTGCGCCACCCAGGGATCCCTCTCTCTCTCTCTCTTGTGTCTCATGAATAGATAAACAAAATCTTAAAAAAAAATACTGTATTGGATAGAAGGCTAGGGTATATGACAGTTAAGGCCCGTTCTACCATTTTCAGGGTCTGAGATACAGCTTGGAGTCCACTGGCATGCCTACAGAACTGGAAGATGAGCTTAGGCCAAGATAAAATATTCAGTGTGAGTCTAGAGTCTCCAAGGAATACATTATATTTTTGAACTCTTTGTCTAACAGATGGTCATCATGTATGAAGCTAGAGGCAAGTTAACTTTAGAGTTGTACTGGCACCTAGTGGTAAAGATGGATATCGATATAATCAAAAGACCATCTCTAAGTACCATAAACATATTTAATATTTACAAAAATTATAAATGCATATAGTGATAAAAACTTATTCATTCTTTGAACTCTCCTCAAAAACGATTTAAAATTATTTAAATGTTATCTTCAAGATATTTTTATCCTGAAGCTTTTTTTTCCCTCTTTTGAAGATTTTTATTTGTTCATGAGAGACAGAGAGAGAGAGAGGCAGAGACGCAGGCAGAGGGAGAAGCAGGTTCCACACAAGGAAAGGAGCCTGATGTGGGATTTGATCCCAGGACTTGGGATCATGCCCTGAGCTGAAGGCAGATGCTCAACTGCAGAGCCACCCAGGCATCCCTATCCTGAAGTTTCAAACTCTTTAATATCTTCATAGATTTTATTTATGAGCAAACTTATAGTGTCATTACAGTCTCTTCTAATTCACATATTCCAGGTACATTATTTTCATGGTTTATGAAAAACACACAAACATCATCTAAACTATCAATGTATTAAATTTTAATTACAAATTAAAGTTGGTATCACTAGACCACAAAGGTAAATATCCTCCAATTCAAAGAGAGAATTACAGGTACCAATCTAATATCATTAACAGTATTTTTCACTATAGTGACAACTGATTTATAACATATTTGACAGGCCAGGAGGTTGGTTCTGGTTATATTTGGGAACTAATGCTAAGAAACATTATGTGCTAATTGGTCTGTGGGGAAATTAAACCCATTTGGGCCTCTCCAGAATGTCTTTATGCTAAATAAATTGAGATAAATGGCTACGGCTATTGAACTATAGAATATATATATATAAACTTTCTGTAACTCACCTATACACAAAATAGAAAAGCAGAATGTGCCAAATTTTTCATAGTAAGTGAAGCATAAGAGTATTAAGCTTACAGATAAAAATAAATATAGCTCTTGTGGTTGATATGCTTTAACATGATAAGAAAATGACAGTCTTGGGGCACTGAGTGACTCAGTAATTGAGCGTCTGCCTTTGGCTCAGGTCGTGATCCCCGGGGTCCTGGGATGAGTCCTGCATTGGGCTCCCCACAGAGAACCTGCTTCTCCCTCTGCCTGTGTCTCTGCCTCTCTCTGTCTCTCATGAATTAATAAATAAAATCTTAAAAAGAAAAGAAAATGACAGTCTTCTGGAAAAGAAGAAGTGGGTATTGTTAACATTTTGATGGTTATGGTACCATTACATTTTGATATGATATGAAAATGCCACTTGTCTCATCCCCATTATAACTTTCAAATGAATTATAATCTCCAAATACCTTTTCTTTCTGTAGGTCTTCCACCCTCCCATATTTCAAAAATAAAACAGGACTGATAAGCCAGTTCTTTTTCTTAATTACAAGGGCAAGCCTCTCTGTGTGGGGTGAAGACTATATCCTTGCAGGTGAGAAAGCAAGCCCAGGTGTCCATGCTTCCAGGCACCCCCTGAGCTGCTCTGAGTGACTTTCCAGGTTGTGCCAATATCCCTTAGCTCAACAGAAGTCAGAATGGCTTGGACGTGATGATGGAGAAAATTACTTTGACCTCCCTGACCTATTTTAGTAATATGGGAATTTATCACTACGAGGGATGACAGTCTCTATACATTTATTATATAACATGCATTTTATTACTATTTAGCTTCTGTTAGCCTAGTGTTAGTAGAAGCAATGGAAAGGAATAGAACTTACAGGAACAGTATTAGCAAATGTCAAAGCCAGTTTGAAGTTTCCATTCAATATTTTTTCTCCAGATAATATATAAACTGTTTCTCTATGTTTTCTCACAGGGACAGTGACCTAATCTCTATTTTTTTTTAAAAGATTTATTTATTTGAGAAAGAGAGAGAGAGAGAGAGAGAGAGAGAGAGAGAACATAAGTGGGAGAGAGGCTGTGGGAGGAAGAGAATCTGAAGCAGATTCCTTGCTGAGTGGGGAGCGGGAAGGACTTGGGGCTTGAGAAGGACTTGGGGCAGGATCCTGAGATTGTGACCTCAGCCAAAGTCATGACTCGGATGCTTAACTGACTGTGCCACCTAGGCGCACCAGACCTAATTTTTTAATCATTTTTATTTCTCTCTAGCATTTAATAGGATGGCAGTTAAGCTTAACCAATTTCAGTGTGGGGTCTACAGATTTTCATGTAATACTAAATTGAATTAATTCATGGAATTATAGACCACAGGTCTGGATGTTTAGTGGAACATCTGCAAAGTGTTTAATGGGTTAGGGTACTGTAGAAGAGGATTAGAATTGTAGAAGATAATCAACCTCTAATCCATTTTGAAAGCATTCTTCAAATTGTAGGTATTTTAAAATCAATAACAATAATGATTCACAGTGACCTCAATTAAAAAAATGTCTTGCTCTTCCTGCCAAAATTAAAATCTTATATATTTCAGGTTGCTCATAAAGCCTTTAACAACATGGAATAACCTAGCAATAGTAACAGGTGGGATTCCAATTTTTAAAGTGCTACTAACGCAATAATTTATTTAAAGTTATTCTTTGTACCTCACAAGGGCTCAAGGTTGTTTACAAGAAAGTACAGTAGATTAGAAGGAAGAAGATTTGGGTCAGCTACCATCTCATTACTTAACTAGATTCATGACTTATAGTAAATCACTTAAAATCCCTGAGCTGCTGTTTCCTCATGTAGAACCCTACCTCATTTAGCTCATATGCTAGGCTGGCTTCCTGCAACAGTGCCCAACACACTGCAGGCATGCAGCTAATATTTGCCGGCTGACCTGACAACATTGGTTGGACACGAAAATAAAAATATTGTCATGCATACCTCAGAAGTGTTGCCAGGAGGTTAAAATGATAAACTGGTATAATATGTGGAAAAATGGTTTGAGAACCATATAAGGCTATATAGACACACAGTGCGTTTCTTTTTACAAATGGAGGAAGATGTTCTTTTTCCATTTTTCAAGTGTGGATACATTTTTAGTACCTCACTTGAAATTAAGATAAATGTGTTAATAACTGCAAGTTATTTCAAATCATAAAGCTTATAAATCTACACATATGCTGAGAAAAATAAGCCATATCTACCTAAAGCTTCAGAGAACTTCTATGATTGCTTAAGATTAATGGGACTTTAGAGATAAAATACCTGTGATTTTCAATAGTGCGGTAAACTCTTCAGACAAGTTCAGATTAAAAAGTCAAAGGTGAACTCCCTATAACAGTCATAATCTATAATAGCTTTACTGTATTTTAAAGAGAGATTTACAGGTACTAACACTTAAGGTCTAAGATACAGTTAGGTGAAAAATGCAAACTAGACATTTATATTTTCATAAAGAGAAATGAACCTGTATTATCTTCCGATGTTCAAATATATGTGTATGATATCTTGAAAAAGGCTGAGAAGGTACATACCTAATTATAATAATGGTAACAGTGAGGATGGGAGTGGAACTGCAGAAGGGCGGGAAGGGACTTTGGCTTTATTGGTATTGTCTGGAATGTGATAATATCAGGAATGTGAAAAAACAGACAAGAGCATATGACCAAGTCACAGAATCTCTGGAGCCTTATTTAAATATTGAAGATGGAAGGTGTTCTTTCATGGAGTAGGTGAAATAGTTTTCCTACAGAGCAGAAAGGCTCAGTGGCTGACTGCAAACCGATACCTAACATTAAATATGATACAAAAAAAAAAAAACAAACAAACCCCTAACCCACAAACTTTAAGGGAAAATACATTGGTTAATTATATTCGTGGTAAGGGACAGCTTGTCATTAGACAGGTACAACATAGCTTCTAGATATTCTGCCATTAAATAAATGAATTTTCATTTTTAATTAGTTTTATTATTTCAACATATTTGATTTGCCCAGTCCATTAGACAAAAAAACATGTTGGGTAAATACAACATAATTTCCATAGGCTGAGGGGACCTGCACATCGTTACCTGATTGCTGGCACTGCTGCCTGGCCGCTGAGTGGTCGTGGCTCGAGAGTTCCCCTTGGTTATAATAGTTCTCTCCCTGAGATATTCCTTTCTGTTTGTTCATCATCTTCTTCTTCCGTAAGCTTCCTTTCTTGGGATGACACATTCTCCATATACCTTCCGTCGCTTGGTGTTTTTTGCAGGGAGTCTCTGGCCTGAAGTACCCTCTGTGACTGTGATGCACTTTGTTCATGGAATTCATCACCCATCAGGGATTCTCTCATTGCTCCGGGGCCACTGAACCCATCCTCAGACTGCACAAATGGAGGCTGGTCCTCCTTATGCTCATACATAGCCAGTCTCTTCTCGACCACCTCACGAATCAACACTGAAAAATTAGACGTGCAAAATCACTGTGATTGTTCATATTTGACTAGTTATAATGCTGACTTTCAGATGCATATGAAGCACTCCCTAGGCCTCAGCCCTTCCCTGTATCATTTTTATGCAAAGTCAGCACATTTAACTTCTGTGCCACTTAATGCATTTAGTATGTATTATAGTCAATGCCTGTTTTAACAGAATATTATTTATAAAGTAATGACAAAAGGTATTAATTCTGATCAAATTATATAAGAATCAAAAGTATTCTTGAGGGTAAAAATTTGTGCCTTTGTTAATATAATTGACATAAAGAAATTCTAAAAATGAAACTGTAAAACTTAACATCTTTCTTCTTCCTGCTGAAAAATTTCAGAAATGGCTTTTTTTAAAGAATTTATTTAAAAAAAAAGGATTTTATTTTTTTAAGTAGCCTCTAAACGCAGTGTGGAGCTTGAACTTACAACCCCAAGATCAAGAGTCCAATGCTCTACTGACTGAGCCAGCCAGGAACCCTAGAAGTGATTTTTCTTCTTTTTCTTTTTGAGAGAGAGGGAGTGAGAATGAGACAGACAGAGAGCAAGCACACTTGTGAGCACAAGTACAGGGGTAGGCAGAGGGAGAGGGAGAGAGAGAGAGAATATTAAGCAGGCTCTACACCCAGCATGGAGGCCGACATGGGCTCAATCTCATGATCAGAGCCGAAATCAAGAGTCAGATGCTTAACCAAATGAGCCACCCAGGGACCCCCAGAAGTGACTTTTAAATAAAATAAAAGAGCTTACTGTCAAGCACTGTTCTTCCCACCATATTGTATTCCATGGTTTTGTCAACTTCATTCATTAGCCATGGAAGGAAGCCTATCTCAATATCTGTAATAAAAAAAGTTAATTTCATTATAATCATTATAATGATTTTTATGGATCATTATAGATAGGAAGAATCTGTGCTTTCTCCCTAAATGTTGAAGATTCCTCAACACTGTTTTCTTTCTTTTTTTTTTAAGGTTTTATTTATTTATTCACAAGAGACACACAGAGAGAGGCAGAGATGTAGGAAGAGGGGGAAGCAGGCTCCATGCAGGGAACCTGATGCAGGAATTGATTCTGGGACGCCAGGATCATACCCTGAGCCAAAGGCAGATGTTCAACCACTGAGCCACCCAGGCGTCCCAACACTGTTTTCTTAATACAAAATGTCACATAGACTTATATAGCATTACTTTTGCCACATTCTCTAGGTATATTCTGGTCCACTTTCTTTCTATTGCAATAGAAATAGTATTTTCCAAACTATGAGGTTTTCCTTGAAGTCCAGGCCTTTGGCACCAACTACACAATCTGAGGTGTGTGAAGAAGGTAGGTAGGTAGGTAGGTAGGCTGGGGAGTGGGGAGGAAGATGTGGGTCTGGGAGCAGGACTCCAATCCAAATCTGGAATTGAACCAGACTGATAGAAGAAATGCTCCCCAACTGAAGCCCAGGGCCTAGGATAAGCTGACCAAGTGTCAGGGACAAGGGTCAGAGTATCTGAGAAGGCTAGGAATGAGTCAAAAACTATGTGCTCCCATTAGTGGTAAGTTTGTTCAAACTGAAATGGAAATCTACTCCATTACAGGAGTGTTTAAAAATTATGGTCCATTATAATATACATTTTAATGTTTCAAAACAGCTTTTTTTGGGGGGGGTGGCATCTGTTACTTTTCAGTGGAGTGTCAGTAGAGAGTGTAATAGAATATTATACTCACGACTAGAAATAATTTCTTCTGAGGCACGAATCTCATTTCCAAGCTTCTAAATGATCTGTAGTTGACTTTTTCAGCATTTCATGAGAGAAGAAAAGGTTGCCAGCCTCTGTGTCTAACAACAGAGGTCTAGCTAGACCCCGGTGGGGTGGCAGGGCAACACGGAAAGAATACTGGATCTGGGCTGAGGGTCTGAGGCCTAATGGCTTCCCTGGCTGTTTGGGAGAAGGCATTTTACTTTTCTGAGTTTCAGTTTCTACTTCTGCAAAATGGGAATTAATCTTCCCTATCTACTCCCAAGGGTTACTGGGAGGATCAAATGCTATCATGCATGGAAAATATTACATAAATGGTAAAGTACAATATAAATGTGAACTAATAATATTTGTGTGTAATCTGACCTCTATGTATGTGTACTGAACTGAATATGTAGTCAGGGAAAATTAACATCCCTAAACTCTGCCCCATAATACTATTAGCCATTTGAAATAGGACCTGTATACAAAAGCAATGTGGATTTAAGTGCTTTTGAACTTGAGGAAGGAGGGTGAGGAACAGCAAGACCTACCCTTCATATGGTGGGACTAGCTGAGGGGGGTTCTGGGAGGGTGCTCTGAGAGGGCTGACAGGTATGAGTTCTCTAAAGGCAGAGACCAGGTCTCCTTATTTTTATATCCACACCTAATACAGTGCCTGGGACAGTGGGAACACCTAATTAAATGAATATATGACTTTCATTGCTGCCCCCAAAGGGTTTTTGAGTGGAAAAGGAAGTCAGCTGAGAAAAAAATTAACAACCACTTACGCACATCTTATACATATCATGTTCCATACGTATTACAACATTTAGCTCCTAAATAATCCTCGTTTCAGCCTGAGGAAATTGAAGGTCATGGCTGGTTGATGATGAAACTGGGACCCAAATTAAAGTTTTTGACATCAAGTCTATATTTCTTCCTACTATCCGTCCAATAGTAAAGACAAACTGACATCCAAAATCAAGATCTTTACAGTATACCTCTCATTAGTAATAGTTCTTACTTAAAACAACTTAATTGACTTTAAACATTTGTTTTAAGGATAGTTTCCAACTCAGAATAAAAATGGGCATGGGATTACTTGGAAGAATTTAGAGGATGCTTATTGTACACAGGGATCTAACAACACCTCCACGAACCTCGTTCAATGGGATCATAGAAGTAGCCACCGTCCCTGAGACTGCCAAACACGGACGGGAGGAGGTCCGCCAGGTAACGCTGTGCGAACACCCGAGCCGCAACCTTCTGCGAGGTCTCGTTGTGCTTGTACACCACCTCCCACTGCTGTTGCTTCCGACGCTCCTGCACACAGAAAACACCACCGCATACGGTTACATAGCTGTGAAGTCCTCCCCAAACTCTGAATCTAGTGAGTGGGAGACTCTGGACACATATTTGTATCAAAAAATGGACAGCAAGGAATCTATTAATGGTTCATATTCTTTATCGGGATTTTAATGAATTTCAGCAGCTCCTGGGTATCGAATTCAAAAAAAGAGGTGGAGCTTAGGTAAGATTCATCTTCTGGTCCATTTTTAAGTAAAATAATTTCTTTTTTTTTTTTTTTTTTTTAAATTTTTTTTTTTTTTTATTTATGATAGTCACAGTGAGAGAGATAGAGAGAGAGGCAGAGACACAGGCAGAGGGAGAAGCAAGCTCCATGCACCGGGAGCCCGACGTGGGATTTGATCCCGGGTCTCCAGGATCGCGCCCTGGGCCAAAGGCAGGCGCCAAACCGCTGCGCCACCCAGGGATCCCTAAGTAAAATAATTTCAAGATGTGTATATTTGTATGGGTAATAGCAAAGAATAATAACAGTTATGTGTATTTATAATTAGTATTATCATAAATTATAATTAATATGAAAATTACAGTTGCTCAGACATCTTCAGTTAAAGAACTTGGGTGAGTTGTTTCATTTGTAATGCTTCTTTGAATTCATTGAGCTCTGAAACTTAAAAACCTCTCTTTTGTTGTTGTTGCTTCTTGTAGACCACAGTATATCTATAAAGCTAATGAACCATCTTCTCTTCTCCCATGTGGAAGTGGGAGCATTAATATAGTTTCATATGAAGTCTGTTTTCAGAGTTTAAGCAAATATAAATTTAGATGATTCGTATTCATTATTTTCATAGTATATTTCCTAATAGTAAATAAACAAGTAAGTTTGCTTTGATAAAGATTTCCCTGATTTTTTCAACAAAGCTAATTTTGCCACTTTTCACATTTGTAAACAAATAGTCTTGCATTTACATAATCTCTACCATAAGCCCTATACCCTATATCCTTTACACAATTAATTATTCATTTTGGAGAAAAATTGAAAATTTCATTAGGTATTGAGTAGAACATCCCAACAACTAACCTATTCTGTGCTAAAGTCTAGTAAGTTAGACTCTGTGGGACATTATTTGAACTCTTTTACATATTTAGGCACTCCTACATAATTTATCCATTCGGTGTCTAATATAGGGCAACAATTATTTCCAGACGTAGAAAGACCTTTAAAAACCTTTAGAGAGGGGATCCCTGGGTGGCGCAGCGGTTTGGCGCCTGCCTTTGGCCTGGGGCGCGATCCTGGAGACCCGGGATCGAATCCCACATCGGGCTCCCGGTGCATGGAGCCTGCTTCTCCCTCTGCCTGTGTCTCTGCCTCTCTCTCTCTCTCTCTCTCTGTGTGACTATCATAAATAAAATAAAAATTAAAAAAAAAAAAAAAAACCTTTAGAGATTACTGAGCCTCGTATTTCCTAACTGAAGGTTACTGGCATATTTGAAAAACTAGATTCTAAAACTTTTCTTATTAAAAGTTCTAAAAACCTGGAATATAAGATTATATTCTATAATGAAGTTCTGGAGGATCCCTAGGGTATAGAGAGGGGCCTGGCCACTGAGAAAAAAATCCAGAATTCTATCCAGATCCTTTGCTTTTTCATGCTACCTATTCCCAATATACTCCTCCCCTTTTCCCTTACACTTTTTTGTTTTTTTTTTTGCCACCAATTTATGGCAAACCAATAGATTTCCTTCACTAGAAATCTTGGTATTGAAGAATGTCTTTCAGTTGGGACATATGTAACTTATTACATTTAGAAACTTTTGGAAACTCTAGGTTCATTTACGTAAGCTGGTATTTAAAGAATGTGATTCTGTGCATGAAAGATCTGTGATCTACAGAAGAGGAGATAACTGAGCTATAAGCTTGTTTCTAATGTATCTGCAAAGATTAGCTCTATGACATACCACATGTAATTCAGAACATAATCTGTTAAAAATAGTCAAAGACTAAGAAAGAAAACTCAAATTCTATACTTTTTCTTCTCTGTGTCGTCTCTCTTGCTCTTCAAGTCGCTGAACTTCAGCTAGTTCAACATTGCGTAACTCTTCATATGCATACTGAGTGGCCCTCAGGTTAGCCAACTCTTCTTCTTCCATTACTTCCAGAAGAGACTGCTCAATGGTCTTCCCCACCAGAACTTCTAACATTGGTTTTACTTCCAGATCAAAGTCAAAGAGCTTAAACACACAAAACAAAGCAAATGTAAAGTTTTAATCATGAACCAAAAGCTCAAAGAAAAAATATCCAGAAAAGCAGTAATGACAGGGTACTAGTTATTGAGGATCTTCTGTGTGCTAGACACCATGATGGTGCTTTACTTATAGTTTCCAAAACTCAAAATAGCTCTGCAGGGCACACAGAATAGCAGTCAAAATTATAAAAAGACCTATGTAGTCATCAAAATGAACCTGATACTCAATTTTAAGATCAAACTCTGAAACCCAAAGGAAATATTCTTATATTTCTTATTGTTTTGCCCTTTCTACTCAATTTTTTACTGGTTATTTTTGCTAACAGTTTGAAGAATAAGGAATAAAAATGAATAATGGGAATTTTGGTGATTTCTCTTTAGGATTTGGAGGCAAATATACCCTTCTATGTAGTCTGTGAAGACTTATTTTATTTCCCAATTTCAATAGCAGTTCTTTCAAGTTCCTTCAGGTAAGTCTTAAATCTCAATTACATCATTATGCACATAAGCATTGCCTTCTCTTCAGTTTCATAGACTGGCCTACTTATGCATTCTATATTGACATGAAAATGTAGTTATTTTAGGATTTTTTTTCTAATACGGAGAGATTATCTACATGAAAACTATATAATGTAAAAGCAACTAATAGTGGAATTTCTACCAGAGATACTATTTTTCTTTATTTGATACAAATTTACCTTGTATTGACATATTAATCAATATATCAATCAAAAAAATCAAAGTACAGATATTCTAAAAATATTTCTAATGATTTTTATCTCTGATCAGCAAAGGGGAAATCAGAACATGGTATTTCAGTATAAAACTATTATAGGTATATTTGGAAAGAAATCCAGTAAGTAGAATCTGTTTGATTATGAAATGGTTTGTAAGCTTTTAGCTAAACCTAACTTTACCTATTTATAAAGAAGATAGAAGGAAGTCCAAATAATGTACTATACCTCTCCTTCTAGTATTTGGGTGGCCACATCTTTGCCAGTTTTGGCAGGAATAAAGAGTGGTGTTGGTGGTCTATCCAAAAATGCATCTGTTTGGCATTCCATATCAACTTCTATTATGCGGTCAGCAATTTCTTCAAGGTATATTTCTAAGAGAATACCATATACATTGAGTTTGAAATTCTGGTCTATTTCAAGCATATATGTGCATTGAAACTTTAGCTCCTTCAAAATAGAACTAAATGGATCAGAAAAGGAAGTGCTCAAGTGTGGGATTAAATTCATTCTTAGTACCTGTTGTAGTAAGCATTTTTATGTATTTGGAAGACTAGAGTCAGTCAGACTAGGACATTAAAAGAAGGTTGAGAAAGCACTGAGCTTTGTACTTGAACATGGAACTAAAGAAGAATATGAAGCCTAGATGTGTGTAAGATGCAAAGTATAATTGGGGATGGAAAGTTAATAATCCATCTATATAACTGACTCCTAAGATAGTGAGTGTATAAAGATTTGAAAATTTCTGGATGTTTAAAAAATTAGGCATCATATCACTGTGCTACTTGATTATATCTAGGCTATAGATTATAAACAGATACATGAAGACAAATTTCACCTTAGGAATAATTTATGTGAGGCAAGGGCAGTGTGGTATCATGCAAAGAACATCAGAACTGGAGTCAGATGTTGAACATAGGACCTAGTCAAGTTACATCTTCTTAGAGCCTTAGTTTCTTTATCTGTAAAAGGGATCATAATTATCTGTCACAAAGGGTCTTTAATAATAAAGGAGATACCCAGGTAGAGGACTAGAATAGTCTCTGAGATATAGGAAAACTCAATACAAGGTGGCTGTTACTATATCACTTACTATTTTGATGGTATAAAGAAACAGTAAAATTTAGCTCTTGCAGAATTATGGCTACATTGGCTAATTACAGACAGACACATTCTAGACGTGGCCTCAAGGTAGGGGTGGGTGGGAAAGGCATGGAACGCTTCACTTCCTTTTGCCCTAACCACCCAGAAATAACTGTTGCAGCCACTCACCATCTTGGCAAAGTGCAAGGTGATTCCCGAATTGTTACGTCAGCCTAAGGAAAACACTGAGTGTTGTCTGATTATCAAGATTCTGACAACACAGGTAGACCCTGTAGGTCCAGGAAAGCCTCCTAGTTGAGAACAGCCAGACAAGTAGGAAAGCCTGTGGGGCCTTGGGGAGTATGTGCAGGGGAAGAAGAATAAAAAGAAGAGAAGAAAAGAGGCTCTGGTGAACGAGGTAGAGGACTCAGATCTGGATGAGTTCATGCCTCTTAAAAGAGAAATAAAATGCCAAAAGAGAACTTGCTCTCTTCTACTCTAGGTCCAGCAGTGATTGATGTTGGTGTGTATAAAAGAAAAAGTGAGAAATAATCCCAATTTGAGAAAAAAGTATGTGAAAAGGGCTAAGAGAGAATTAATGTGGCCATTAAATAATTTATTTATAAATAATTAGAGAGAGAGAGAGAGAGAGAGAGAGAGAGAGAGAGGCAGAGACACAAGCAGAGGGAGAAGCAGGCTCCATGCAGGGAGCCTGACTTGGGACTCAATCCCAGGTCTCCAGGATCACACCCTGGGCCAAAGGTGGTGCTAAACCGCTGAGCCACCTGGGCTGCCCCATAAAATTCATGGCATAACAGATACATAAGTAATAAAAAAGCCAAATGAAAAATGAACAGACTTAGAAAACTGAGCAAACCCAGGAGCCATGATGCCAGTGGCATGGTCACATTACCTGTTTGCACATCCACATGCTTTCTGCCTTCCACGGGTTCGGGGGTTCGTGGTCTGAGCTGTTCTTGGGCTCGTTTTCTGGCAAGAGCCCTCCTCTTAGCCTGCTGCTGTCTCTGAATCTCTATAGGATCAGGCTGCCCAGGCTGAGTGAGAGAAAAGGCTTCTAAAATTTAGAAAATATTTTCAGAACTTTTGGAGCTGCCATTCCAGAAGTGATTCTTCGATAGCATAAAGGCATCTGTCATAAAATGCTTCCTGATTATCAGTGATTTCGTGATTAAAATTCTATTTGAACTTTGTCAGGTAATTATAAATTTATCTGATGAAGCACATACATAACTTGAAAGTATGACTATTAGCTGGAATAAACAGCTGCAGAATCCTAATAAATTGTTTTTTCTCAGTCAAGCATTTTTACCATGAATTCCTTGGATGCCTACTAACCTAGTATACTAATAATTACTCAGTTACAATACATTTTAATGTGTTGTTTAATGAATTGAAAAGCACTAGGATTTTTTAAAAATTTGAATTTCATTTAAAGAAAATTCCTGAAAAAATATATTAGCTCACAAAAAATATTGTCAGTCCAAACAAAGACCTGTCCCAGTGCACAAAACAATAGCTGATTAAGGACTAAAAATATAATTATTTATAGTAGTTCTGCAAAGTTTGGATGTCCTTAATGTCATATCTTTATTTCATCCTGTGGTCACTCTCTGCAGCTAACCTGTCTTATCTCAAGGTAAATATGAAAAGAGGGGAAATATGAAAGTATTTTGCATGAAAAAAATTTAATATTTAAAATTAGAATTGTAAAAATATTTTGATTGAAATGACAATGTAATAACATTAAATCTTACTTTAATCCCATTTCCCTAATACAATGGCTATTGTCATTTAAATGCATACAGTTTTTCTGAAGTTGTGATATCATACATTTATCTTATTTATTTTTTTGAGGGAGAGAAGCACATGAGTGGAGTGTGGAGGGGTAGAGGGAGAGAGATTCTTAAGCAGACTTCCCACTGAGTGTGGAATCTGTGCTGGATTCTATTTGCTAATATTTTATTGAGGATTTTTGCATCTACATTCATGATAGCTATTGGTCTATAGTTTTTAGTATCCTTGTCTGGTTTGGATATCAGGTTAATACTGATTACCTGAAGTGTTCCTCTTTTGTTTTCTGGAAGGGATTTTGTAAAATTGTGTAAATTGTATAAAATCAATGAGAATTTTAAAAAATGGTAGAATTTTCCAGTGAAACTATCTGGCCTGGATATTTATTTTAAATTAGAAATCCAATTTCTTTAGTATTATAGGATAATTCAGAATATCTTTTTCATGTTAGGTGAATTTTGGTAGTTTATAGTTTAAAGAATTAGTCCATTTCATTTAGTTTGTTGAATTTATATGTATGTTTGTAGTGTTCCATTATGATCCTTTTATTCTTTTAATAGATGCATAATCCCTGGCATTTGCTTATTTATTTCTTCTCTTTTACTTTCTTTGTTAGTCTTGGTAGAGGTTTATCAATTTTATTGATCTTTTCAAAGATAAAAAAAATGGCCTTTAAACTTTCATGGTGGCAGGATCTATGGTTATATCCCTTGACAGTCATTCTAGTATTTGCTATTTGTGTCTTCTTTCTCTCTCTCTTTTTTTGATAGTCTTGCTAGAGGTTTATCAATTTTATTTATTTATTCTGAGAACCAGCTTTTGGTTTCATTGATTTTCTCTATTGTTTTTGTATACATCTTTAAAAAAATATTTATTTGAGAGTGTGCATGTGTGAGGTGGGAGGGGGCAAGGGGAGAGAATCTTCAACCAGACTCCCCACTAAGTGCGGAGGCTGAAGCAAGGCTCAAGTCTCAGGACCCATGAGATCATGACCTGAGCCAAAACTAAGAGTCTGACACTTAACCAACTGAGCCACTCAGGTGCCCCTATTTTTTTATTTTTACTTTTATTTTTTTTTTTTGAGAGAGGTAGGGAGAGAAAGAGAGCAAGTGGGGATAGGGAGGAGGAGCAGTGGGAGGAGGGGGAGAGAATCTTAATCATGGAGCCAGTTGCTAGGCTTGATCTCATAACCCTGAGATCATGATGTGAGCTGAAATCAAGAATCCAACACTGAGCTGACTGAAACACCCAGGTGCCCCTCTTTTTGTTTTCAATGTAAGTGATTTCTGCTTTTATCTTTATTATTTTCTTCCTTCTGCTTGCTTTGGGTTTATTTTTCTCATCTTTTCCCTGTTCATTGAGGTAGGAGCTTAGATTATTGATTTGAGGTCTTTCCTTTATTCCATCTCAGCACTGTTTTGGCATGAAACACAAATTTTGATTTGTTGTATCTTCCTTCAGTCCTAGGTAGTCTTTCAAAATTCCCTTTAATACTTCCTCTCTGGATGATTTGGAAGCATGCTGCTTAATTTTCAAGTGTTTGAAGATTTTCCAGTTATCATCTATTATTGATTTCTATTTGAAATTTTGAGAGACATTATTCCATTATGGTCAGAGAACCATACTCTGTATAATTTCAAATATCTTAAATGTATTGAGATTTGTTTTGTAACCCAGGATTTTTTTCTCTTGGTCAACATTCCACAGGTGCTTCAAAACCGTATGTATTCTGGGGTGCCTGGGGTGGTGCAGTCAGTTAAGCATCTGACTTTGGTTTTGGCTCAGGTTGTGATCTCAGAGTCATGAAATGAAACCCTACACTGGGCTCTGCACTCAGTGGGGAGTCTGCTTGAGGTTGTCTCTCCCTCTGCACCCCCACCCCTACTCATGCTCTCTAAAATAAATAAATAAATATTTTTAAAAGATTTATGTATTCTGTTGTCAGGTGAAGTGTTGTATAGATGTTAATTACAACCTATTGGTTGATGGTATTGTGTAGTTCTTCTATACCCTTGCTGATTTTCTAAGAGAAGGATGTTGAAGTTCCCAACTAAAGTTGTGGACTTGTCTATTTCTCCTTTCAGTTTTAGCTTCATGTATTTTGAACTCTGTTGTTTGGTGCATATACACTAAAGACTGCTATATCTTCTTGGTATATTGTGACCTTTTTACCATTATGTAATGTCCTTCTTTGTCCCTGATAATACTGTTTTCCTTAGGTCTACTTTATCTGTTATTTATATATCTACAACTACTTCTTAAAAGTTAAAAGTCTGTATATTTTTTCCCATCCTTTTACTTTTGCCCTGCCTACATCACTGTAATTGAAATGAATTTCTTGTAGACAGAATACAGTTGGGTTATGTTTTTTATCTACTCTGCTTATCTGTCTTCTAACTGGCTTATTTTAGACCATTTACTTTTAAAGCAACTATTGCTATGTTAGGGCTGTCTGCCAATTTACTTTTGCTTTGTTTTTCATTTTTCTGTTTTTTTTTCTTTCCTTCTGTGAATTAGTTGTAACATTTTTTAGAATTCATTTTTGATTTATCTGTAATACCTTGACTATATCTCTTTGCATAGGTTTAAAAAATATAAAAAGGCTTACAGTATACTATGTACCTGGATCAGTTAACATTTAATATCAACATTTTACCACTTCATGTGAAAGGCAGAAACTTTACTTCCATTTAGATACCCTCATTTTCCTTAAAAATATAATCATCTTAAATATTAATGTATATTAATATACATACGTTAAGCACTACATCAGGTGATGATATAATTTTACTTCAACCATCAAACACAATTCCTTCATCTGAGAATGACTTGATTTCCCCTTTATTCATGAACAATATGTTTACTGGATTAGAATTAGGGCTTGATAGTCCTTTTCTTTCAGGACTTGAAAAATACTGTGCCACTTTTTTCTGGCCTCCATTGTTTCAAATGAGGAACCCACTGTTACTCAAATGATTGTTCCTCTTCCGGTAATGTGTCATGTGTCTATAGCTGCTTTCAAGATTTTTTTAATCTTAGTTTCATTTTTTTTAAAGATTTTTTATTTCACAGAGAGAATAGAAAGAGAGAGAGAGAGAGAGAGAGCAAAAGCGGGGGGAGCAGCTGAGGGAGAGGGAGAAGCAGACTCCCTACTGAGTAGGGAGCCCAACTTGGGGCTATATCCCAGGACCCCTGGGATCATGATCTGAGCCAATGGCAGACACCAATTGAGCCATTCAGGTGCCCCTTGATTTTAGTTTTGAAGTTTGATCTTGATGTGTCTTTGTGTGAATTTCTTTACATTTTTCCTGCTTGGGGTTCAATTGACTTTTCAAATCTGTAGGTTTTTACCTTTTGCCTAATTTATGGAATTTTCGAGCACTATTTCTTCAAATATTTTTTCAGTCCTATGCCTTTTCTCCTGAGACTTAGATAACATGAATGTTAGATATTTTGTTATTGCTCCTTAGCTATGAGGCTTGTGTGTGTGGTCTATTTTCTATCTGTTGTTACAACTGGGTAATTTCCATTCATTTAACTTTGAATTCACTGATTGTTCCCTATGTCACTTTTGATGAGTCTGTCCTGTGACTTTTTAATTTTGGTTATTGTATATTTTGGTTCTATATTTTCCATTTGATTCGTTTGTGTATCTTCTATTTCTTTGCTAATATTGTTTTTTCATTTTAGAATGTTCATAACTATTCACTTTTGATTGAAACATTTTTTTATGATTACTGCTTTAAAATCCTTGTTAGGTAATTCCTACATCTGAGTCATCTTGGTGTGGTCATCTCTTGATTGATTTTTCTCATTGAAGTTGTGACTGCCTTGATTCTTGGAATGATGAGTGATTTCTTTTTTTTTTTGCTGTATCCTGGAAATTTGGGGTATTATGATGTGAAACTCGATCTTATTTAATCTTTTTAGCAGGAAGTCACCCCTTTTTGTTTTAGCATGCAGGTATGGGTGGAAATGGAAGTTCAGCATCCTGCTAGGCCCCATGTGAAAGCAGAGGATCAACTGGTATCACCTTATTGGTGCCTAGTGGGGATAGTATTTCAGCTCCTTGCTGTGATCCACTGACACCAGTGTTGGGTATAGAAGAGTGGAACTCTGGCTAGCACTGCCTTATCCCACCTGTTTCTCTTTGTTGCTGCTAGATACATCTAAAAATTCACCTCCCTCCTGACTCTGCTGCCATCAACCTAGGAAAACTCAGTGAGTGACAATGTTGTTGCTGCCACTTGAGAATAGAAGTCCAGTTCCCCGGCTCAGTCTTGCTGACTTCACTGGGAGGGGCAGGATAGTTTTTCCACTGGGGTTTGGATGAGGAGGGGTCATTAAAAAGTTTCTGTTCTGCTAGGTTACCCTTTTGCAGTCTTTTTTTTTTTTTTAAGGATTTTATTTATGGATTTGAGAGAGATAGAGATAGTGAGAGAGAGCATGAGCAGGAGGACAGGGAGAAACAGACTCCCCACTGAACAGGGAGCTCTATGTAGGGCTCGATCTCAGGACCTTGGGATTATGACCTGAGCTGAAGGCAGATGCTCAACCTTCTGAGCCACCCACCCAAGCATCCCTGCAGTCTTTTGGATAGAGAGAGCAGGCTTGTGCCTGTTAGTTGTTCTGGGTTGCAGGCTTCTCCAGTGCTCTGAATGGGATATGTGGGAGATAAAAAGAAGACTTAGGGAACTCATCACTATGTCACTTAAATCCTGAGGTCCCTAGCCAGTCTACATCCTTCTTTACACCTACAGAATCTTCCTGTCTTTGCTTGGGCTATTGGCAAATTCCTGCTTGTATGGAACTGGAAGTCTCAGCATAGAGTTTTTAGGTAAGTTGTTGAGTAATTGACTAGAGAACTAAAAAAGAAAAAAAATCAAATCGTCACAATATTAATTTAAAAAAACAAAATATGGTGATTTTCCTTTTTCCTTTAGTTTTAGGTGTGCCAGAACTCACTGCTACTGCCAGAAGATGATGCTTAAAAATATATTTCTATTGCATGTTTCAGCTGTTGTTTTCAAATGTTGGTCCCTGAACTGGGGGCTGTACCAGAGCTGCCTGGAGAAGTTTCTAATGATGAACATTCCTGTGTCCAACCCTTGAAGGTTCTAATGCAGTAGTTCCAGGTTTGGGCTGAAACATACATATTTTCAGTGAGTTTTCTAGATAGCTTTGATGTACGTGTTTCAGAATATCTAATATTCCATATATCACCGTGTGGTGTTAGGCATGAATATATCATACACTATTTATAGATGAACTGAACTATATTTCTATTTCTGTGCCAAGAATTCATCACTCTTAATGTCATGCCACATCCTAATCATCTGTTTCCCAGGTTCTCAACACAGGACCTAAAACTCAATAAATATCTGTTTAGTGGATTAAAGAATTTTTGATTAAATAATGAAAATAGTATTATAGTATGAAATAATTTAAAGAATCCTAAATATGTTATACCAGTGCTACTTAGAGTATTGTCTGTGAACTGTTTGAACTGGTCTGTAAAAATCTGATCATAGAAATTGAGAGTAAAAGTTTACAAACATCTAGAGCAGTTTTACAAAGCTCTGTTAATCTAATAAAATATTGGGGCTTCTGTATTTTTTAATTATTTTTAAAAATTGTGGTAAAGTACATAAAATTTATCATCTTAGCCATTTTTAAGTGTAGAATTCAGTGGCATTAAGCACATTCACAGTGTTGTACAACTATTACCACCATCTATCTCCAGACTCTTCATTTTTGCAAAGCTGAACCTCTGTACTCATTAAACATTAATTCCCTATTCCCCCACTGCCCGTGCCCCAGCACCCACCATCAGCCTTGTATTTAGCATGTCTTTTTTTTTTTAATTTCATTTTTCTAGTAATTTATCAGTATTTTATTTTGTAACTGTTTTAGTCTGCAGCAAATTGGAAATTTAAACAAACTGGTCCTTTAGCACAAATAGTTTGAAAAACTCTGTGTTAGAATATTCAAATTATACTTACCAATGGTCCTGTTTGTACAGCATAAGTATTGCCTCGGATCACCCTTCTGTCATACATTATGTTTCCATAATGTATAGGTTCTTCAGCTCTGTAAAATAGCAAATTCTAAATAACTATTGTTACAGTGTTGGCTGTGCAGTCAACTCATTTTGAATTGGATTTAGACTAAGACACAAATATTAAGAAAACAGATTTTTGTTTCTGCACCGTCCATGACAAAGGATGATCATTTATGGAATGCTTGTATGCCAGGCCCTCTATGTATTTTATTTATTGCTCACAATGAGCTGCAGGTTGGGAACCATGATTCCCATCTGACAGAAGAAGAAAGAAATTCAGAAAGGAATGTGCCCTAGGTTACCTGGCTAGTAAGTGGCAGAGCTGGATTTAGGGCTATAAATCTGTTAGACTACTTGATAAATGTGAAAATGGACAGTTGGAAAGGGGTCTGCCTAAAAGTACTGTCAGTAGTTGGATTCAAGGAATGAAAGGATTCACAGAATCAGGCTTAAAAAGTAAGTCAAATTTCTCATTGCTCTTTAACCTCAAAGATATATTTTAAAAATGATATTTTTACATTTTAATAGAATTTTTATTGTGGGGGATCAGAATATCAATAGTGAAAACCATACAGTTGATGTTTTCATTTGAGGTTCTTTAAATGATATCTGTGTATGGCTATAAACCAAATAGTGACCTATACCAATAACAGTACTCTACCAGAAATGACTTTGAGAGGGGTAGTAAGTTGCCTTTTTTTTTTAAGATTCTATTTATTTCTTTGACAGAGAGAGCAAGAGAGCACAAGCAGGGGGAGCAGCAGCAGAGGGAGAGGGAGAAGCAGGCTCCAGCAGGGAGCCCAATGTGGGGGCTTGATTCTAGGATCCTGGGATCATGACCTGAGCTGAAGGCAGAGGTTTAACCAATTGAGGCACCCAGGTGCCCAGTAAGTTGTTGTGTGTCTTTTTTTTTTTCCAGTAAGTTGTTTTTTTTTAATCATATATTAATACCACTGTTGGATAGCCTGTCTTTGTATTACTTAAAAACCAGGTATGTAACACTGCCCATCTTACTGGACTGCTGGGCAGTGTTTGGCTCAGCTGGCCACTCCTTCACTGAAGCATTCTCTTTCCTAGCTGCCATGATGCCATCATAGTCTTCTGTTTTTTTAGGACTTCTGACTGTTCTTTCTCAGCGTGTTTTTACTGACTCCTCCAGTACCAGAGGATTTCCTCAGGGCCAGGCCGTCTCTTGCCCTTCATTGAACTCATTCATTCTCAAGGCTTTACTCATAATCCATATACCTAAAACTCCCAATTTTATTTTACCTTTAGCTCAGAACTCTTCTTTGAGCTCCAGGAATGTAAATCCAATTGATATACTCAATGACATCTCACTGAGATGTCTAAAAAGCAACCTCAAAATTGAACTAATTATCACTCCAACTTGTTGTTACTTCTTTAGTGTTCCCTATTTCATTAAATGGTACCATTAAACCAGCTGGCTTAATCTAGAAGCCTGGGAGTCATCTATGATCCTTCTCTCTTCTTCACTGCCCGTGTCCAGCAAGTCTTATTGATTCTCCTCCCCAAATCTTTTTCACATCTATCTGTTGTTCATTGCTACCACTATATATTAACTGGACTAGGAAAAGTAATAGTCTCTTAACTGTCTGAAACAACATTTTTTCTCTTAATCCGCTCTATACATTGTACTCAGCGATTTTTCAAAATAGAAAAAAATCTAAAGGATGCTTACTTGATTAAAAGCTCCTAGTGCTATTTTTTTTAAAAAGATTTTATTTATTCATGAGAGACACAGAGACACAGGCAGAGGGAGAAGCAGGCTCCCTGTAGAGAGCCCAATGCGGGACTCGAACCCAGGATCCCAGGATCAGGATCTGAGCCAAAGGCAGATGCTCAAATGCTGAGCCACCCCGGTGCCCCTTCCTAGTGCTAATTAACATAATAAGGAGGAAAAATTTTGGTTTTGATTTCACAGTATCAAAAGCCAAAAAGAAAAAAATCCGTAACACCTATTGCTGATGAGGATGGAGGAAAAAAAAGTTATGCTTAAACATTACTAAAGAAAAGGCATATTGTTCCATCTGTGTGTGTTAAAAATATACATGACCTAACAATCCCATCCTGGGAAGCTACATCATAGAAATAAAAGTGAGCATATAAAGTTGTTTATTGAAACCTTCCTCTTTGTGGTTAAAAACTTGAAGCAAAAAACTTGAAGCAAACTCAATTTCTATCAATAGTGGAAAATCCTAATAATGAATAGTACATTCATACCAGGGGATATCATGCTATTAAAAATAATTGGAGGGAGTTCTACAAAGAATTAAGTGAGAAAAGGAAGAATTGTGTATAGTATGTTAGCATTGCTATGAAGTAGACAAAAATCTGTGTGTACTTGTATGTATATATTTGTACATAAACATGTGAGTGTGGAGAAAAGTCCAGAGACGTTCATTCAAGGGCATTAACATGGTTTACCTTGGGGGCAGGAGGGAAAAAGCAAATTTACAAGGGAAGGGGTTGAGTATTAAGAATGTACCCAAGCATGAACCACAGGAGTCTATGTATATAGATTTAAATATATATGTGTATGTATATGTAAAAAAATTAGAAAAAAAGAATTAGAGGTTATAAAAAAGGGGGCAAACCTAATTGCAGATTAAAATGTGTAGTATGAATCAGTTTTGGAAATAAACTTCCTCTATAAATATACATATGCTCAATAATGGAGGTGTAAAAAAGAATAATAGAAGATTGTTAAGGCAGTGGGAATAAAGGTGGGAGGGAGATAACTTGCCTTTTTCATCTTTTTTTTTTTTTTTGTACTTTTCATTTGCTTTGGCAGGCATATATTACTTTTACAAACGGAAAATCACCACTACATATAATTTACAGATAATTTTAAACTGAAAAATCAAATAGACACATACTCCCTTCCAATGACCTTACAATAGATGGCTTCAATATAAGCAAGGTCCTGCAACTTATCAACCAGTTGTAAGTTGTAAGTAGTAATGATTTGTAAGCAGCCACTTAAAGCCACCATAAAGCGTTTCTGGAAGTGGTTTTTAAATTCTTTCTTAAAAATTTAGATTCAATTAGCCAAAGTATAGTACATAATTAGTTTCAGATGCAGAGTTCAATAATTTATCAGTTGCATATAGCATCTGTAACCCCCCCCCCGACCTCCCCTCCAGCAACCCTTAATTCATTTCCTATAGTTAAGAGTTTCTCATGGTTTGTCTCCCTCTCTGATAATTTCCCATTGAGCCACCAGAAAGTGTTTTTGAAGGTAAGATGTTAAATGGCCTTAAAAGGATTAAAAAGGATTTTAATGCTTTTATAATATAAATAATCCCTGTATACATTAAAATTTTCCGTTTTGGTTTTCTTAAAGTGATGGGCATTTATTTAAAAAAATTTGTTATAATGAGATAATTATGAACTTGGACTCAACGTTTGACAGGAGCATCAAGAGTTACTCGGCTGATGTGTTCAATCATTAATTCAACAATTTGCGTTGAGTGCTTCCTATGTGCCAGGCACAATCCCGGGTGGACAAAAGACACGAAGATTCCAGCTTCCACGGAGCCTACATTCTTGGGAAGTTCTGCTGGTTCCAAAATTTGAGTCTTACAGAAAGAACTATAAGCTTTAGAGAGCCCATAAACATTACTTCGAATAGTGAAATGTGGATGTTTGAATATTTGCAAATACATACTCATTAATGTAAAGCTACAACTTGGGGTCCAGCATGGAAGGATAACCTGATTCCTGGCCAAAGACGGGATGTGGAGAGAGCTTTGCTTGGCTCTCTCATCCCGGACATGCCATCGTGTTCTGACACCTTTGTAGCCTGTGTCTTCATTTGCATAATGGGAGTTATTAAACCCACTTCGCAGTCCCGTGGACGCAGGGAGGAGACGTGCATGGATGCCCCTAGTAAGGTGCTTACAGTTGGACAACAAGGGACTCAACCGTGGTGAAAGCAGGGGGTTTCTCGTACACGTTAATCGATCACGCCCGCAGCTCACTACCACTGAGTTATCCGCCGGAGGCCACCCGCGCCCCCTTGGCTCCGCGCCTCCACGCCACGGGGCAGTTCTTTAGGGAAGATCTTTTATTTCGGCAGGGTAGTGGGGAGGGGGCAGCAGCGCAGGCCCGCACCCCGCGGCGCCGCGATGGGGGCAGGTGCTCACTCACGGCTGCTTCAGGCTGTCCCTGTAGCGGCGGCGCTGGCAGGGCAGGGCCCGGGGCCGGCTGGTGTAGGTGTAGGTGCCCATGGCAGGGGAGGTGCGGTCCGAGAGCCTGGATGCCACGCGGGGGGCCGGGTCGCTCCGCTTCCGCTGGAAACTGGCTTTCAAGCAGGTGGGCGCGATGTGGTCGTGGGAGCCGGAGACGTGTCCGTGGTGCCAAGGGCAAGGATTCCGCGACGCTAGAAGAGGCGGCAAGAAGGACGGCGGGCGGGGCGGGAGGTTGCCGGGACAAGAGGTGGGAGCTAGGCTCGGCTTGCTCCCGGGAGCCCTGAGCCAGCTGAAGGCGCCCACTTCGGTTGCCCGGCAACCCACACTTCCGCCGGTGGGCGGGACCTCGTGGCAGTTCCGGCCGGCGGTTTTCGCGGGAAGGCCCGCCCCCCGGGGCACTTCCGGCTCCTGTTTCCGGCGGCCGGCGTTTCCGCGGCAGGTGTGCGTGCGGGTTAGGGGCTGTCTCCGGAGCGCGTGGGGCCTGGCGGTTTCGCGGACCTCGGCGAGCACCGCGGCGGCCCGCGTTCCCGCTGCAGAGTCTGGCTTTGCGGGGCTGGTGTCAGCGCCATTCTCCCGGGCACACGTGCTCCCGTGGTTCAGGGGCGCGCTCCGCCGCGCGGCTCCCCGGGGCTGCTGCTGCTCCCCAGTGTTGGCGCGGACGCGGCAGCCGGGCTCGCCGCTCTGTTACGCGCCAGGGCGGGGCGAGGGCCGCCTGGCGTCTCCCAGCGGAGAGCTCTGTGGTAGCGCCCCCGGACGACCTTTGGGCTTGCGGAGCCACAGGGGCCGCCCCGCAGACCTCTGATTTCGCAAAGGGTTGGGTGTTTTGCAGAGCCCTTCGGGGCTCCTGTACCTTGATCTGTCAGGCCCCCAGACTCTGTAAGAGCGAAGCATCATGAGGTTGGTCTGTGCCTAGAAGTGCAGGTGCTTTAGTTTTAGTATTAGCAATGTTTAAAAGAAATATAGTTTGTGTCTGCGAAGTGTATGTATTCCCGAATGGTCGGTTACTTGCGCTCGCATTCTCTCCAGTTCGGCTAACTTCTGTCTGAATTTGAATCCAGGTTCTGCCGGTGTGTCAGGCCCACCACCTCTGGCAAGTTAATGCTTCCGTGCTTCATTTTCCCGGTGTGTAAAATGGGGGGTCGTAGAATTTATCTGTCAAGGCTTGTGATGAGGATTGAAAGTATTAATAAGCATAAAATGGAACTGTGTCTGGTAAATGATGAGCCATTATATTAAGATCTAGATTCCTCCTGCCCTTTGAGGATTAAGATTTAAAGCCAGCGTGCAGGTAATTGTATAAATAATCCTGACTTAAAGGTGGGTAGTCAGTGCTAGGGGTAAACGCTGCATGAAAATTTTAGGCCTGATCACTTAATTTTGAAAGGATTGCAGGAGAAAGTGACATCATAATTGTGTTTGATGGGTGGTAGTGTTTTGATGGGCGAGAGTCCCGGGGATGCATATTCAGAAGTGGCTTGTTCAAAGGCTCAAAAGCCCCAGGTCCTTGGAGAACTCTGAGTAGAGTCTATATGTTAGATAATTATAAGAGCTAAGGATAAAATGCAGGCTAGGAAGTGTCAGAGGTGGACGGCAGCCTAGAGATTTTAGATTGGTCAGGGAAGCCTTCACTGAGAAGGTGGCATTTGAGTAAAGATATGAAGGAGGTGGAGCAGAGAAACTTGAGACTAAGATTCCAAGAAGGAGTTAGTGCAAAGTTCTAAGGCAGGTACAAAGCGGGTGTGTTCAAGGTAAGAAAGGAGGAGGCTAGGGTGGACGGGGCAGAGGAGAGCATTAGAAGATTAAGTTAGAGTTCATGAATTCAGATCCTTGTGACTTGTAGGTCAGCATAAAGATGAATTTTTACTCTGAAGTTAAAAGCCCCAGAGGGGGCAACCCAGGTGGCTCAGTGGTTTAGCACCGCCTTCAGCCCAGGGCACGATCCTGGAGTCCCGGGATCGAGTTCCGTGTCAGGCTGCTGCATGGAGCCTGCTTCTCCCTCTGCCTGTGTCTCTGCCTCTCTCTCTTTCTCTCTCTCCCTCTGTGTCTCATGAATAAATAAATAATCTTAATAAAAATAAAAACCCCAGAGGGTTTTGAATAGGACCTTGACATAATTTAATTTTTAAAAGAAGCATTTATATTCTAGTTGCTGGGTTGAGAATAGACTGAAGCAGGGGCAAGGGCAGAAGCAGACCAAATCGAACAGTTAGCCTGGCTAAGAAAGTGGTTTGGATTGGGGACCAGGCAGTGGAGGGGTGAGATGCAGTCAAAGAGATCCCCGAACCTATTTTGAAGGTAGAAACAGATGAATTAGAAATGGGACACTTGAGAAAGAAAGGAGCTTAAAGGTCACTCTAAAGTTCTTGAGTACATGTTGAATACTGTGTAGAAAAATTGCAGAGAGGCTCTGGCTGATGTTCTGTCTTCCTGGAGGATTTAATTTTATCCTGGCTGGCAATTAGAGTGGGAGCAGAGGAACTAATCAAGGATTCAAGTTTTGGGAGGGCTGATTGCTTTCTGGTTTGTTCTGATCCCAGAACATAGGCCTTTAGGAATCTCAGCAGAAAACTTGGGGTGTTCAGCAGGTTCCCATCTTTAGGGGACCTTGAGCTCCCATTTTTGTATTCCCAAGCCTGTGAGGTTAATGAAAGCTCTGCCTACCTTCTTAGCCACTTTGCAATGTGTTGGTTTCTTGATTTCTAGTGTCCTTGGAGCTTAAAATTCAACAAATGCCTTAAGGATAAAGGCCAAACAAAGTTGTCAGGCTTCCCTGTGATCCCCCTTTGTCTGGGGTCTTGTCCCTTCGACTTCTGTCTTCCGTTCTCATCTATAATTTTTATTTCCCCGGATCTGAAAGACTCCTGACAACTCTAGACCATTGCTTTCTGCTTGCCCTTAAACGCCCTGTTCTGAAACTCAACAAATACCCCAGGAGAAAAGCAATGGAGGAGTTCTGTATTCCCATGTATTTTCTTTCTCACTGGGATCCCAGTCCCTCATGTCCTGACTGCCTTGGTTATTCTCCAGTGCCTTCAAACAGTCTATGTGGTTTTTATTTTAGTTTTTAGTTTTAGCTTCAGTTTTTACAGTTACTCCTGTAAGAGGGTTGTCTGATTCAAGCTACCACTCAGTCCTGGCTAGAAGCTGTGCCAAAAATGGAGTTTCCATTTACTTCCATAGGGAACACTGGAGAGGAGCAGGTTTTGGAGAGAGCGTTAGAAGTTCATAGGTACATTGAGCTTGAAAGGCATTTTAGTCATCCTAGTGAAGATGTTGAGGAGACAGTTTGACATGGGAATCTGGGGCTTTGGGGGATGGGTCCAGAGAAGAGATACGAGTTTTTGGGCTAATGATATAAAGAGGCAATTTAAAGCCATGAGATTTGATGAGATTGCTAAGGAGTGTAGAGAGAAGACATGAGCCCTTGAGCATGGAGGCTGGAAAGATGAAAAATAACCAACAAAGGATACTGATGAAGAGTGGCCAGAGAAACAGAAGAAATTGCAGACAGTCTGTTCACTGGGAATCAAGTGATGAAAGTGTTTTCAAGGAGAAGGAAGTAAAGATGGCTAATGCAATTTATGGGTCAAGCAAGCTGTGAACATTGAATCTAGCAACGTAGAGATAGAGATCGTTGGTGATGGAGCAAAGGGTGCCTGCAGTGGAGTTAGGACAAAGTTCAGCTATAGATTTAGAAGAGAATGGGAAGAAAGAACTTTGTGACTCAGGGAGGTTTGGTGCAAAGGAATAGAAACAGGATGGCAGCCAGAGGGAAATGCGGCCAAGAGAAAGTTTTATATTTTTTAAGGAGAGATTTGATTGTAAATGGGTATGCTTATAGGAATGAGTAGAGAGAGAGAGAGCAGAATGGACATTTTATCAGGGAGAGCCAGGATTGATGGTATGATGTAAGCAAGAAGGCATGGGTCCTCATGCACAATTGCTTGTCTGGAAGCGTGCATGGTGATAGAAAAGGTAGACGACGCCAGTCCAGGTGGGTAGATAATAATTTTCAAATTTCTTAGTAATTAACAGATGTTTCTGATACAGCAGACATTATATGCCAAGCACTTTATACACATGATTTCCCTTAGTTTTTACAATGACACTGTGAGGTAGGTTCTTAAAAGGGAACTGCACCTTTAAAGAAGTTAAAGTCATTTACCAAGGTTATACAGCAAGTGAGTGACAACACGGAGATATAAAACCATATCTGCCTGAGTCTAGAACCGATGCACTGAAGTATCAGCTTATGCTCTTTATCTTCCCATCCCTAAATGTCTCTTGCTATGTCTCTCTCTCTCTCTCTCTCTCTCTCTCTCTCATTCTCATTCTCTGTATCCCCAGTAATCACCAAGTTACACCAATTTTATCTCCTAAATTTTTTTGATTCTGAGACCTCTTTTTTGGATCCCTACCTACTATTCTTACCCGCCTCTAACCAGATCCAGACAACCTGAGTGTCTTTTCTGTGCAACCACAGAATGGTCTAAATGCATTGCTGCTCTGATCATCCTAGGTCCCTCCTCAGACGTTTCTGTAACCTCTTTGCCCTGTAGTTCAAGCTCCTTGCGTGTGCTATATGTAAGCCCTTTACTACCTGGTGCTGCCTGTTTTTCCCATCTCATTGTGCTAATTTCTCCTTGTCCTCTCCTTGCCCCCCAAGAGTAGCTGAACCTTAGCAGTCCCACTGTGCAGATTACTATGCTTTCTGCTTCTGATTTATTTCCCTTTATTCCTTCTAGGCAATTTTCTGCTCATTCTTTAAGCCACAGCCCCTGTTTTCTCCAGAAGCACATTTCTGATGCCTTTAACTGGGGCTCAATAGTCCTTGATCATATTTCCATCTTTTATTTACCACATGGCATTTATAATAACTTGCTGATATGTTTGCCTCCACAACTAGGCCAGGAGTTTCTTGAGCATAAGAATTGGGTCCTATTCATGTTTTTGGCCCTACGACATGGCTTAGTGTTTGTCTTTAATAGTTTATTGAATGAATGAGTGAATGAATGATTGAATGACACAGGTATACAGTTTATCCAAGAAAAGAAGGAGGAGCTTCTTTTCGAGTATGACAATAAGTGAATGGCTCTAGTTTCTGAAATATTTTTTTAAAAGATTTTATTATTTTTTAAGTAATCTGTGAGGATTGAACTTACAACCCTGAGATCAAGAGTCGCACACTCTTCTGACTGAGCCAGCCAGGTGCCCATGAAATATTTCTAAGCATGGTAAGAGAAAGTAAGAAAGAACCTATGACAGTTATTATCCAATAAACATCAAGCACCTTCCTTGTTCCAGGCACTTAGGAAGAACTAGGAATAGATGGGACTCTCATTTTAGTGAAGGGAGATAGATGATAGGCAAATGAATTGAAAAAGCAAGAAAACAATTTCATGGAATCATAAAAACTGTGATGAAAACACAACAGGGTGTTAGGATAGGAAGTGCCTTAGCCACTGCTTTAGAAAAGTCTGCGAAGGGAGTGTTTAACATGAGACCTGTATGCCCTAGGAAGGAGCCAATCACATCAAATTGTTGGGGAGCAGCACAGGCAGAGGAGAGTAGCTGGTGCACTGTCCTGAAGGCAGCAGCAAAGTTGTCATGTTTAAGTAACAGAAGTGTTAACTTCTGTTGGTCAGAAAATGGAGAGCAAGGGGGAGAATGGTTGGAAGTGAGTTTTTAGAGGTGGCTAGGAGTCCAGTCAGGTGGGGCCTTGTAGAATGGGGATGAATGGGATTATGGGGAGCCATTCAAGGGTTCTAAGGTGGGAAGATGATCCTCTCTGAGTTCTCTTACAAAGATCACCGATTATCACAGGAAGAACAGATTGTAGGAGGTGGAGAGTAAAACTAGTTTAGGAAGGTGGTGTGGCTAAGAGAGGGGATATGGCTTGAGTTAGGGTGATCATAGGGGAAATGGAGAGGAGTGCCTTGGGGACATTTTGGAGAATGAGTCCAGATAACTTACTGATTGATTAGATAAAGGGGAGGAGTAGAGGAAGAAAAGATGACCTCTAAGGTTTTGACTAGAGCAAAATAAACATGAAAATCCTATTGTTTACTGAGATTGAAGAAGCAGGAAGTCAAGAGTCCCAAGATTTTGAGATGCTATTAGATATCAAATGGAGGTGTAAAGTTGGAAGGTTGGAGGAGATGTGTCTGGAGTTCAGAGGAAAGGTTGGGGCCAGGGATATAAGTTTGGTACTCATGAGCACTGGAAGGGCTTGGAGGGCTTGAGAGGTAGGAGGGAAACAGTGTAGCATCGCTGAAACCCAGGGTTTCAGGAGCAGTGGGCTCAACCTGGTCTATTTGTACAAGGGCTTAAGTAAGATCAGAACGGAGAAGTAACCATTGGTTCTACTCACATGGATGGTGTCTGTGAAGTTGACCATAACAGCGGTTTTGGGGAAGTGGGGCCTAAAGCCCAAGTAGAGTAATTCAAAAAGAGATCTAGTTATGAGGAGAATTTGTAACCTTAGATTCTTCTTTCCAGAATTTTTGCTGTTGGCTTAATGACTTAATAAGGCCTTTGGACAAGTCTGTCAGGTGAAAATGGGTGATAGTAGCACAGGAATGAATTAATATGTTTTTGCCACAAGGTGTCACTAATTCTTTATTAGTTTTGAGTAAGTAAACTAGTAGCTGCACAAGTGTACCTTGCAATAAAGAGATGCTGTTTTATAAAATCACGTTTATAAAATAGACCAGTTGGAAAGTAGAGGTTTCCTTCCTAGAGCCAGTCTCTGTAGCATATTTGCTGTGTGTGCGTGTTTAGGTGTGGGGGTGAGGAGCAGCAGGCTAGGATTCAGCAGACCAGGGGAGTGGGTGTAGAGCCCTGGGTGTGGCCTCGGAAGATTTGAGCTCAGTTCCAGTTTTGCACCTGCTGTATGGCCTCAGGCAAAATTTAAATGATTCTTTGTCTTAATGAAAGACAACATTTTGTGTGTGTGTGTGTGGTTGCTGTTTAAAATACTATCTCTATCTCTATGGTAGATGCTGCTTTACCCATTTCACCCAATGATTTTTACATATCAGAAGAGAATGTGTATAGCAGTGTTTAGATGCTTTTGAAGAGCTGTGTAAATATAAGATTAAAAATTACAAAAATTGTTTATGCCCAACTTTATAGCAATATAGATGTTACATAAAGCAGTTGTATTAGTGAAGACTCTTGGTTGCATATGGTAGAAAGCCAGTTGGGACTTGCCTGCCAAGAAGGGAGTGTTTTAAGTGGCTTCAGGAATGGTGGTGCTATGGGGGAGGAGGGCTTTGGATGTGTGCACGCCTACTCTTCTCTTTGCTTCTATCTGATGTCTGTCTTCTCTTTGGCCCCAACTAGCTTCCTCTGCCTAGTAAGGAACATTTTGATGCTGTGAAGGTTGTAGGATATGCACATGACCACATTCTGTAGGTTGAGAAGGTAAGAAGGCAGAGCTGGAGAAGTAGATGCCATAGAATTACCTTGATTTTGGTGAAGGGAATATGAATTTCAAATTTATGAAAGCCAATGTCAGTTAATACTAACCTTCAAATTTAAAAAAACAAAACCCAAATGTTCTGAAACAGTCTAATACCCTAGGGTCTGCATGTCTTTAATTTTTAAAATTAGACCCTATGACATTATTATCTTTTTTTTGATAAATTAACATTATAAAGAGTTAACATAAAGGGATAGATGCACCTAATTTAAAGAAATGAAAGATTTAAAAAAAATTTACCAAAAATTAAAATACAGTTATAATTTTTCTTTCTTTCTTTTTTTTTTTTTTAATTCTATTTATTTATTCATGAGAGACCAGAGAGAGAGGCAGAGACACAGGCAGATGGAGAAGCAGGCTCCACGCAGGGAGCCTGACGTGGAACTCGATCCCAGGTTTTCGGGATCACGCCCTGGGTCAAAGGTGGGCGCTAAACCGCTGAGCCACCCAGGGATCCCCCAGTTATAATTTTTCAAAAGAATCTTCACTTATAAAATTTCACGATGTAATTTTTCTAAAAGGAAATGTCCCTTGAAATATATGTTAACCTAAAAACCTCTTTTTACATAAATTTTCAGGAACATACATACCAATGTTAAGAGACATACTTGCTAGATATGATATATATATTTAACTTCTTCTCAATCCAAGCAAATATGCCAGTTGCTTTTAACAAAAAAATCATAACTAGAACCATTAGTATATGTTTTTGCTACATCATATGCATTAATGAATCACAAGTCACTTTAGTTATCTGTGAGATTTTACTGGAAAATAAATTCTTATGACCTGAATTCCCTCAGCAGGAAGCAGAAGCAAGTTTTCATACAAGTTCGTATATTGAACGAATGGAATCTCTCAGCCCTGAGATTCTGTTGAAATCCAGGAGATGGAGACACTGGAAGGTAAGTCCCACACCTGCCAAAAGGAAGACATCTCGAAAGTGGAGACCATTCTCTTTCCTGGGAGGCTAGTGTCTCCCTCCTCACCATACAGTTTACCTAATGTCTGAAAATACTGAAAATACATTACCTAATGTCTGATAACATTGGTGGAATTGTGCTTTATTGTACATGTGCCTCAGCTGTCTGGGCATATTCTTATGTATTTAGGTCCCTTCAGTAAGAATCTCTAATGTAATATATGGACACAACGAAGGCTTGTAATGTATGTTCAAGGATAAACTTCTTGAAATTAATAGTTCCTAAGATTTGTTTAAAAAGACAGAGTCAGGGACTCCTAGTTTAAAACGGCATTAACTGAAGGGGGAACGTCTTCCAACTTAGAACTACACACCCAAGGCAGCAGGGATAGGGTATGTCCCATTTCTGTCTGGCAGTGGATGTGGATGAGGAGGTTGGGGGGATGAGAGTTGTGTATAGCAGGCTGGGTTGTAGCTTGAGAGGGAGATCAGATGCACTCTGGTAGGTAGAGGGAGGCCAAGGGCAATGATGATGCTGTGTCTGCTGACAAACACCAAGTGTGGATTTATTTCCCTTCTTGGAAGGTGAGGACAGGGAGGAAGCAGAAGAGGAAGAAGAGAAATGTGAAGTTTGCCAAGTGCAAGGACAGGGAAGTGTTCTGGGGAAAAGAGTATGATACATGAAGCCCTCGAGGTGAGAGAATGCCTAGAATTTTGGGGAATTGCAAACCCAGCATGTCTGAATCAGAGCACTAGGCAGAGTCTCAAGAAATATGGGATTAAAGGAAGATTAAAGACGCAGTAACAGTTCAAATCTAAATACTAGAGGATGTTGTCAAATGTGGAATCAATGATTTAAAGAACTATACTGAGGAAGGTTCTCAGAATCTAGAGGAAAAGATTTAAAAAATTGACCCAGCATGGGAGGTGATATTTGGAGAGGGGAAAACAAGTCAACCTATGATTCTTGTTGCTACGGAAAACAGAAGCAACAACTAAAAACTTAATTTAACACGTGTTTTCTAAATATATAGATGGAGAGGATTCAGTATATTACAAGAAAAGCAAATGGCAACATTTTTATATTACAAGGATATAAGAAATAGATCTTATGAGCACTTAGGCAAAAAGAAGCAAGTTAGCTATGCAAAAATCAAAATCCCATTTGCTTTAAGGTTTTCTGCAGTACTCCTGATCAGAAGACAATGGAAAGCCATCTAATAGTCTTCAGGGGAAAGTGCTGGGAACACCTCATTTCTAAGTCTTTTGTCTTTCAAGGCAATAGCATTTGCTTTCAGATTTTCAGGGCACCATGGACCATCCTGTCCCTTCCTTAAAAAATGCTTGAATACTTCTGCTATCCAAAAGAGCAGTCAAGCTCAGTAATGAACAACTCAGTAGTGAGGAAATTATGATCCACAGGATTTATAAGACCAGTCTTACTCACTTTGGACTAAAACACAGATATTCGATTGGTATGCATGTGGTTTGATTGGTTGTGCATCTAGAGGATGAAGTTGATCTTCGGAGCCTCCCTGTACTGTTCCCCCTGAGGCTCCCCCAATTTCCAGGAAGTGTCTTTCTTGCACCTCATGCTTTACCCCATTTTTCAGTAGAATTATCATTTGATGACCACTTAAACTGATGTGTTTCTGGTGTGTGTTAATGTTGGCATACCTGTTTATCTCATTGAGATACTAACACTCTCCCTTTCTTAAAACGAGGGCTGAGTAATGTGGCACATTTTTGTTTCCAAGAGCCTCACATGTTTTCTGCATCTGTAAGACTCTGATGTTTATCTGACTTGTACTTTTAATTGGGTGAGACTGGTAAACCCCACGTTAGCGACTGTTGAATTAGTAGGCTTCACTTGGTCTCTTCCTCCACCTGAGACTTGAGGATGTCCCTGTGTTCCTTATGGATGGAGTCGTTTTATTTATTATATACAATGCTAATGTTTAGAAATGTGGTTTAGGTGTTTTTCTATTTCTTAAAGAAAATCTAAGAATCAGATAAATAATTTATCATTTCCTTTTGATCTGTGAAGTCAGTGACTCACTCTAGGGAGATATATTTTTAAAGGCAAACTAAAAAAAAAAAAAAAAAAAACTAAGAACCATAACATTTCTAGGTACTATTTCTGTGTAACTAGCTCCCCCCAGAAATGGATGGCTTAAGCAACCGTTTTCTTGTGCTCCCAGGTTCTGTTGGTTGGGAATTGGGACAGGATGAGTAGGGGTAGTTTGTTTTTACTCAGTGAGGTCTGGGACCTCAGGTGGTAAGACTCCAACTGGGGATTACTTGACAGTTGGGGCTGGAAACATCTGGAAACTCTTTCACTCCCTGTCTAGTACCTGGGCTCCGATGATTCGAATACGAACTGGCATCACTGAGTAGAGCTGTCATCGCCTTGCCCAGACTCTTAGGAAAGGGGACACGGATCCCACTTGCCATGTCAAAATAATCTGTGGCCATACTTTAAAAAATTACCCAATGATAAATTGCCAACACAGGTTTTCTTTCTCTTGTAGGTTTTGGGATGATGTGATGGGTTGAATTGTGTCCCCTTAAAATTTGCACATCAAATCTCTAGCCCTCGGCTGATGTGACATTTTTTTTTGGAAACAAGATATTTGCAGATGTAATGAGTTAAATCAGAATGAGGTCATATTGAAGTAGGGTGGGACCCTAATAAAATATGCCTGGTGCTCTTTGATGCTTCTAAAGCCATGGGATGCCACAGATTGCCAGTGACCCACCAGAAGCTTAAAGAGATGTATGGAACTGATTCTCTCTGACAGCCCTCAGAGGGAAGCAGCCTCACTAACAGCTTGTTGCTGGACTTCTAGCATTCACAAGGATGAGACCATTACATTTCTGTCACTTAAGCCACCCATTTTGCTGGATTTTGGGATAGCAGCCCCAGAAAACTAATATAGATGGTTTTTAGTGTCTTCAAGATTTTTCATATTTCTGACAAGGAACTTGTGTTTCTTTAAAAATGAGGAAAAAATGGGTTTATTTAATGTAATAATTTCAATTTCTGTTTTCCATAAAATGTAGAAATATACCAAAATCTTACTAAGGTTGTATCTAGGTAATAGGACTCTAAAAGTCACTTTTTTTTTTTATTCCTTCTTCATATCTGTACTTAAAATGTTTTCTGTTCTGGGGGAAAAAAGACTGTAGGAAGCAGCTATTGAACGTAGTAAGGGCTTCTGGGAGTTTGCTCTGGGTTCTGCTCTGCTCCCTGGTGACTTCGAGCCTGTTTCCTGTCTGCACGTGGGGGGTAGCACTCCTCAGTGTTGCTGTAAGAAATAAATGAACGAGTATATGCAATTATGGAGGGGCTGGTGGAAGATGAGTTCTTGAGCTCATGCATGTTTTTTCAGTTGATTACTAGTGGCAGATGGAGAGCCTGAAAAGCCAGGGAACCCAGAGAGGTGGCTTTTACTGTGAAGTAAAGGCAGCTTGAGCCACATAGGGCCTGTCACTTCCCAAGGTCCCTCCTAAGGCTTTGGAAAGGGTCAGGATAAAAAATGGTCATGTGATGGTGTAGTTTATAAAATTTGCAAAACATATTTTAACTATAATCAGTTGAGACTCCTCTTTCCACTCTGACCCACCTCCTTTGGAGAGGCCATGGGGATTTTGGGACTGGGCCCAGGGAAAGTTGACTTATGGATACTTTTAATTTGAGATTTACTTATGTGGTTTGCAGTCACTTCCCTGAAGAGGTAAGCTATGGATAGTTGTCCTGGGGTAGGAACGTCTTCCAGAGATATTCTTACTGGCTACAGTGCCTACTCACTCAGCTTTTAACACATACAAGAACACATAACGAGAATGCTTTTTACAGAACCTAGTACAGAAAGCATGTGGGTGGTGAAAGAGAAACAAGATCTAAAATCTATGGAGCCAGTAGGTAGTCTGTGAGAAAATTTCCCAGATTTTACTGTTCCTGTATGAAACTTGATAGAGATTTCTCCAAATCTGACAGTCTTAAAAAATTTATATTTACATGACTTGAGAAGCTAACATTTATTCTTAAGCTATTAATGTTGAAAAGAATCCCAAATTTTAATCAAGCTAAAAAAAAAAACTCTCCAGGATTAACTTTTATTCTCTCTACAAAAAATAATACAAAATATTTACAGGAAGAAGTGATTAAAAAGGGTATGCAGCCCAAAAATTGTAGAAAAAGAAGCACTACTGAAATGTATCAGGAGGTGGTTAATAAAAATATCACGTAATTTTGGGGGGGTAGGTTTTACCTGTTGTTAGATAAACCACAGCTTTGTTTATAATTTATAATTTATTCGATGTCACTTTTTCTCATGGGGAGGGCCCTCCAAAATTGTGTGAGTGGCAGGACCCTTGAAACCTGGGTCTGACTTGAAAGAGCCCATTTCCAGATCAGTTCTTGTTCTTCTGTGGAGATGTTATTTGAACCTGATGCTAACATTCAGAATTACTGCTTCTCTGTATTTTCCATTTGCCACAGAAGAACCCAGACTCAAAGTGTTTACCAATCATTTCCTTTTTTTTTTTTTTTAAATCATTTCCTTTTGATCTAAAAGGTTTCAGTGGCTCTCTCTAGTAAGAGTTTTCAGGATGCATGCTGTTTACCTCATCAGAGCAAAACCCTGACTCAGAGTGTGAGAAATGGCTCTCCGCTTCCTAGGAAGTTTTCAATATAGAAATATGCTGTGCTTTTGAATGAAAAGTAAAATGAAAAGGCAACGGATGGAAATTTCTTGTAAGGAGATATGAAAAACCCCCCAACTCTTCCTGTTCTTAAAAATAGTTGTTTTTGTCAAAGGGTCTGAGACCTGAATGACACTTTTTGAAGCACCTTTGGCAGATTGTGAAAGGCCCATGAGTCTATGGTCCTTCCTTGGGGAAGCCCCTCCACTGCCTTCCTTCTGCACCCACTATGCTTGGGTGTCTTACAGCCAAAGACAGAGTAAAAATGGTCTTGAG